ATTATTATTGAGAAGTAAGCACCTCATTCTAAATTTTACTTTTATCTAGCAATGCTTAAAACATTTAAAAGCATATTACAGCTAATTTTACCAGTGAAATATCACTTTCATTGAAGACAGCTTTTTCTTCTATGGAAGACAAAGACTGTAGCAGTGATATTTTGGTTTGTTTTGAATATAATTAAACAATGGGATGGTTATTCTTCTTGCTAAAAATAGATCATACCGGAAGTCGGAGTACAAGGACAAAACAATGACTTTTCAACCAGATTATTTGTCAGTGAAAATATATTTTCGATCACAGCATCTTTGTTTTAGTGATATATGCACAGGTCTGTCTGTCTCGTCCATACACTTTCATGCTGAGATAGGACTTTTCAATTGCAATGTTGGAAGCCAGAGGAAAAGGGGAATCTAGCCTGCCTTGTAGCTCTACAAAAGGAAATACTATTTCCCATCAGGCTACTGGCTCTTTGAGAGCACGGATTGTATCTCATGTACCCTATTCTCAGTAGAAATAAAACGTGTGTGTGTGTGTGTGTGTGTGTGTCTGAAATGTCTTGGGTGCAATGTTGGCAAGTTTTTGGCAGGCTTTGTTTCAAATACTCCGCAGACTTCAGCAGTGATGGACTGAATGTGTGTGCATCTCTCTACCCACTCCACCTGCCTCTAAATTAATACATTAAAACTCTAATCCCAGTGGGATCAAATTTCTCTCTCTCCATGCACCAAGGAACAAGGAAAGGCAGCTCTTGCCAGGATCAGCTGGAAGCTTGGACATGCAGCCTCTAGAATTGTGAGAAAGTAAATTTCTGGAGTTTAAGTCACACAGTCCATGGCATTTGCTATGGAGCCCAAGCAGGCTAAGACAGTAAGCATGAGGGTGGGATGAAGGAAAGGTTTCTGGTCCAGAAGACTAGAGAGACGCTGAGGCCAATAACGGGTACAGAACCCAGGAAGAGGAGCAATTGGTGTAGTCAATGGAACCACACTATTATGTACTTAGAATTAACCTCACTCAAGCACAGAAATATAGAAGTTAATACCATTTCATAGTACTTAATACCATTTCTTCAACAGTGTTTAGTCATCCCCTAGTCAGGGTAGACAATGTGCTTGTCTTGAGAATATGAACTCAAAAGACCCCTTCTTGACTTCAAGGCTCTCACGGCCCAGTGGGAGAAAGACTTTCTCATTGTGAAGCTGGCATGCTAGCTGGAAGGAACATTGTGCTTGCCCCACTTCCAGCAACCTGGAGCTTATAAGTAATAAAGAGGTAAATTCGACATGGACAAGAGCTTTGGAGTCATGACCTGGCTACAACCCTGGACTTGTAACCTATGGACTGAGTGGTGATCAGAGGCAGGCCTTGGGGGTCTTAGTAGCCTCATCTGTAACTGCGAGTGGTTGTCAGCATCAGCTATGAGAGGGGAGGCAGAAATGTTTTGTAAAATGCCATGTCCATGTTAGCAACTGTTGTCATGATAAAGCCCACATTTTTAACTTCAGTTTGAGGCAAGTGAGCCATAGACAGCAAGTTGGAGATGAAAAGCCAGCTTTGAGCTCTGTGGTGATTGGTGTCCTGGGGTGGAGGCTAGAATAAGACATGTACAGAGGGGAGCAGGGAGAGCTGGCCGTGAGTCCTGCAGACTTCATTGAAATCTCATCAGTTGGTTGTCAGTTATGGAGCAACTGATCTGAGCTTCAGTTTCTTCATTTATAAAATGGAGCTGATAAGACCTACCCAAGAGGGTTGTTGTGTGGATGTAAAGGCTCTGCATGTGTGAGGCAGAGTGTTTGCTCAGTTAACGACAACTTGTTCCTGTTAATATTACCATTCTCCTCTCCTACCCTCTAAAGGGATTGTTCAGTTGGTTAAATTACTTGAGATGCAAAGAAGTGAGGGAAGGGCTATGACCACTTGTTTTAAAAGTTCTTTTTAATTGTAAAGAAAGGAAGGCAGGCCCTCCCTGGTGGTGCAAGGGGTTAAAGCACACTCTCTGAAGCTATCTGCAGCGACAGCAGCACAAGTTCGATACCTGGTCAGGGAGCTGACCCACACGGCTCAGCAGACCTCTCCTGTCTCGCCTGCTGCCCTCCTCAGCAGTGTGCTTCGGTCACTGTTCTGCTCCCCACTCTGTTTCCGGTGAATCCTCTCATTCCCCGCACCTCTGGCCTGTACCCCAATTCTTGTAGGCATAAATAAATAAATTTTTTTTTTTTAAAAAAAGGAAGTCAGCTTGGCTTTCCTCTATTAATCTACAGTGCAAATAGAACTCCCATAGAAAATGAGCATTTTGCTATATAGTTTAGAGCTGGAGTACACCCACCTTGGTAATTCCTTGTATTAATTCTATCCTAAGTAAATCTACCAATCACTGTGTGTAAAGGTTCTCAGAAGGCAATGCTTCTCAAACTTTCTCAAATGTACACATGAATCACCCAAGGGCTTGTTAAAATGCAAATTTTCATTTGGTGGATTTAGAGTGAGGCTTGAAACTCTGCACTTCTAAAGAGCCTCCAGGGAGGGCCATGCTGCTGGTTTATGGACACATTCTGAGGAAGGAACAAGGCTCCGAGGGGACATGGAAATATCTCCCTTGACATGGTGCTCACTGCAATAGCCTGTTCTCTGTAGTGATCTACCTAATTACAAATTACTGAAGGAATGCTTATGAATCTTTTTTCAGATCAGATTTAGAAGTTCGGCAACAGCATTCATTACAGCTCAGTAATGGGCTTTTTGGCAATGCCTTGTATGTGCAAGGCACTGTGCAAGGTGCTGGAGACACAAAGGTTAGAAAGACACAATTCCTTTATCTGAAGACTGTTCTTATTCTAACACTGTACCCCCTTGAGGACCGTCAACTTCCTGAGAGCAGTTCTATCTTCTCCCCTGGTGGTTGTCTAATACCATGTTGATACTTAGTAAATATTAAATGAAAGTATGAATGAGCTCAGAGGATTTTTACTAAAAATGTTTTCTGATAGCACATGGCAAAGTCTCTTAGCTGCACTCTATGTAAAATATCACATGAAGAGGTGGGTAAATTAAAATGAGACTGATAGGGTGGGCCCCACTTCAATCTGACTAGTGCCCTTCCAGGAAGAGACTAAAGCACGGAGACACGGGGTGAGCACACACGGATTGAGGGGTGACCATGTAAGCGCACAGCAAGAAGGCAGCTGCTGCAAGCCAAGAGAGAGGCCTTGGAACAAAGCAAATCTGCTGACACCTTGATCTTGGATTCCAGCTCCCAGAGCTAAACTTCTGTTGTTTAAAGCCATCCAGTCTGTGGGGCCTTGTCATGGAGGCTGTGATACATACTTTCATAGTTTTTATGCCCAGATTCAAGATTCCCTGCTTTAAGGAACACAGAATGTGAGAATAATTCTAAGAGTGGATGAGGAACGTCAGAGAAGAGTGGGAATGAGTCATGCAAGGACTGGGAGGGGGGTGACAAGGGAGAAGAGGGGGAGACAGCGGCCCAGCGGGGACAGCAGAATTACAATATATATTCCTTTCCCTCTCCCCACCATGCCAGCAACAATTTCAGGGCTGTTCTCTCCCCAGATCTGAGATGAAAGCAGCTTTCAGACATCCTCCCTCCACCCCTCAAGCTACATTTTAATATTTGATACCATTTCACCTGTTTAAAAATATCATGGCAGTAGAAATCCCCCAGATTTCTCTGTTTGCAAAGTCCTAAGGAGTCCCTGTGATGTTGAGATAATGAGAATGAACTTTACATAACAAAATAAAAGCCACAGTCAAATAAGAGTCCAGCTAGTCACAGGGAAGATTGATTTAAAGACTGACTTTTTAAACAAAGTTAGGGGTTTGATATTTTGTTTTGTTTAAAAAACAACATGATAACTCACGTGCAGTTCCTCCTTCAAAAAAGTCTTTCTGAAAGGTTCTACACTTATTCTAACCATGTCATTGCCCACATATAATTTCTGGGGTTGCTGTCGAGGTTTGTGAAAGTCTTCTGACTGCTCTCCGTGGTGACTTCTGAAGGTAGATTTGATTTTCAAAAGCAACAGGGGTCCCCCTTAGTTAACTTGGGGAGCCATCAAACGCTAAAGGCAAGGAGAGCCATCCTAAAGTCTCCAGGCTGAAAATTTTTTGTGTGTGTGTGAGAATTGTATTCAACCCCAGAAAGCTGTTTCCAAAGACAAGGCCCAGACATGTAGTAAACATGTTACAGGCTTTCAAGGGAGGGGCTGACTACTCTGAAGGAAACCCTATTCTCTGGATATACACGTTTTCTAGTTGTTTTTTACCAGAATATTTCCTCAGGTTTACATTGGTGATTTCCTGGGACAGGTTCCCAGAAATATCAGGACCTTGCTGCCTTAGTCAACTTTGAATCTCCAGCTTAGGTGACCCCTGAGGGGTTGACCATGGCTGATGGGGGAAGGTTCTCTAAGGTCTCTGTGGCTTGCTCCATGTGAGTCAAAGGGCAGAGATAGGACCCAGAAAGAAACAGGAGACAAACTTCTTTCCCATGCAAGAAAGACACTGGGGACAGCTGGAGCTGTCCAGCAATGGCATTAGTTTACCCTGGAAATGGCGAGCTTATTGCCAAGGAGGGGTATAAAGCAAAGGCTGCTGATTATGGAAACTCTAGAGTTTCCTAGTGTCATGGGGGAAGGAGGTGAGGTGGAGATGGGGAGCAGGACTATGCAATGACCTCTCCAGGCTATCCCCTGTCCAACAAGCACAATCCAACAAGCAATGATAGGTCCGGAAAAAATTCTGGTATGGAACATAGTGCACAGGTGTGTTGGATGTAGGGGGAGAGACTTGGGGCTCCTCAGCTCCAAGGAGGGTCCCGAAAGTGAAATGAGAGTCAGGGGGCCCCCAGGTGGGGTGTTCCTAGAGTTTTTGGTACTAGAGGAGAGCAGGTGTTTTGGAGACCTGAGCCACATGCTCAGGAAATGGTAATACTTTTGAAGGGAGGAGGAGTTGAGGGAGGACATAGACCATTGCTCACCCTTCTTAAACTCCTCCAGCACCGTGTCCAGCCGCGTATCATTGAAGACGCAGTGCAGGGGCCGGTTGTAGAAGCGAGTGACGGTGAGGAGTGGCGTGCAGTCGTCGGGGTCCACGAAGGCCAAATCTTTGACAAACAGAATGTCCACAATGTTGTGCCTCTGGTCGCCCTCGTAGACCGGGATGCGAGTGTAGCCGCTGCGCAGGATCTCGGAGACGGTGGCGAAATCCAGCACAGCATCGGAGCGCAGCATGAAACAGTCCCCAAGCGGGGTCAGCACTTCCTCCACCACCTTGGTGCGCAGCTCCAGGGCGCCCTGAATAATGTTGAGCTCCTCCTTCACCAGGTCGCTGTAGGGGTCAGCAGCCCGCAGCGTCTCCAGCAGCTTCTCCCTGGTGTAGAAGGTGCTGATCTCCTGGCGCAGCGCCCAGTCCAGCAGGCGGCCCAGCGGGTAGCACACAGGAAAGGCTGCAGCCATCAGGAGCCGGGTCAGGCACACGCTGTGCGAGGCGATGGCCAGTCCGTGCCGTGAACACACCGAGTAGGGGCAGATTTCGGCGCCCAGGAACACGGCGCCCGTGCACACAAGCGCGGGTAGCCAGGGGAAGTGAATCCCCGCCTCTCCGTAATCTTCCCCCGTGCCCCCGACGCCCGGCGGTAGCGAGGCGTACAACCAGCCGGCCAAGGCCGCGTTGGCTCCGGCTTGGCCCAGGAGCAGGGTGCAGAGCAGATGGGTTCCCCTCCCGCGCACGGCCTGCACGCGGCGCGCCTGTTCCTGCTCGGCGGCCGAGCCGCTGTTCCGCAGCACCCGTAACTCCACCGGGTCCAGCGAGAGCAGACTCAAGCGCAGGCCGCTGAACAGGGCAGACAGGGCGAGCAGCAGGAGGGCCCCCAGCACCCGCAGCCACGCCGGGGGCAGCAGGTCCCCGCCCGGGCCGTATAGACGCGGGCGGACGCGCAGCAGGAAGCCGCCCGCGGCGCCGTGATGGTGCCAAGAGCGCCCATCCCAGGCGCACAGCGAGAAGAGCTTCCCGCCACCGCCCGCGCCGCCCCGCTCTGCCTCGCCCTTACGCAGCTCCCGCACCCGCACCTGGACTAGAGCCGAGCCCGCCACGCCTCCGGGGCGCAGTGGCCCCAGGACCTCCACGTCCGATGCCCAGTCGCTCTGCTCGCGGCAGCGCTGCGGCCCCGGCGGGCGCGTGGGGACCGCACTGGGGGCCACGCCGCTCCCGCCCGGGGGTTCCTCGATAAACACGAGTCGCGGAGCCCAATCGCCGGTGCCGTTCTCCCCCGGGGAAAGGGTGGGTGCGGGCACTGGCGCCGCGGGCGCCGCGGGCCCGGGCTGGAAATAGACGCGCAGGAGGAAGCTGGTGCCTTCGGCCGCGCGCAGGGTTCCCCCCTCCAGGGACACGCGGCCTCCTGCGGTGTCCTCGGGCCGCAGGCCCAGCAACCAGGCGGCGGCGGCCGGGGGTCGAGGGGACAGGGAGAAGAAGAGCAGTAGCACAGCACCCCGGCTGCAGCAATCCCGGAGCCTGACACCCACCGCTGTGGCCGCCGCCATCCTGCACCCGGCGCGGCTGCACGTGATACTGCAGAAAGCCGAGCTGGAGCTGGAGGGAGGAGGAGCCGGAGCCCGCAACCCTGCCCTAGGCAGGTCACCACGTGTACGCCCCCTGCAAGCGTGGGCTGGAGACTTGAGGGTTCAGACCCTGCCGGGGCAGGTGGTTCCTGCGGGAGGCCAGAGATGGCCACGCATCACTGCACCGTATGGAACACCGACACACTTGGGTATATCTGAGCTGCAGCCTGGTTCCCAGCACGGCCGCCAGCAGTAGGGTGCCCCTCCGCGAACCCCTACCCGGCAGTTATTCCTTTGGGCGCCACAGCTTCCCCATTGGCGGAGGAAATTTCCCAGCATTTCGTCTCTCCTTCTCCCTTTTGCGTTCCCCCTTCTGGTCAAAGGATATTCTGGAAACAAGTCTTGGATCTGAATACTTTGGTTTCAACTTCCACGTAAACCTCGACTTCCATGACCTTCCACGTAAAAATTTCCAAGTTAGTTAAATTCAATTCCGTGTTAAGATCCCCATGGCCAGAGTAAGAAGCTGCTGGAATAAATTATGAATAACACTGTGTGATGGAATACTGTGCAGCAGGGGAAGGGATGAGGAATGACGTAGATCCATGAATTTGTGTTATGGAAAAATATACATAGGAATAGCTGAAAAGTAGCACGGGGCTGAAAAGTATGTATAATACTATACATGTATATTCATTAAAGTATTTATGGGCTTTCCCTGGTGGCGTAACAGGTTAAAGCTCCTCACTATGCAGCTCTCAGAAGTCACTGCAGCACGAATTCGATCCCCAGCCAGGGAGCAGATCCACATGGTGCAGCAGACCCACCCCCTGCTCCCCTCAGCAGTGTACTTCATCAGTCTGCTCCCCACTCTGTCTCTGGTGAATCCTCTCGCCCCGGGGAACCTCTGGCCTGTACCCCATTCTGATGCATGAATAAATAAATCTTTAAAAAAGACACATCTAGGCCCTCCCTGGTGGCGCAGCGGGTTAAAGCATAGCACTGAGAATCTAAAGCCGCCTCCGCGTGAGTTCGATTCCCGCCTGCCCTGGAGGTGACCACATGGCGCGGCAGACCTCTCCTGACCCGCCCGCTGCTCCCCTCAGCAGTGTACTTCGTCGCTCTGCCTGTTCTATTCCCCACTCTGTCTCTGGTGAAGCCTTTCACCACCCCTGAGCCTCTGGCCTGTACCCCAGTTCTGTATGCACAAATAAATCTTTTTTTTAAAAAAAAGATACATCTATTTCTGTATGACTTTTGTTGAGATATATCTCCCATCTACATGTCTACCATCTGTCTATCCAGTAACTGGAAATACCGAGATTCCAGGCTCAGTTTCCCCATTAGGTGCATATCAACTATGGTATAATATCAAAAGCAGGAAATTGAAATTGGTATGATGTGGTCCATATCATGTGTAGATTTATCTAACCACTGTGATGAGAGCACAGAACTGTTCTGTCCCCACAAAGGTCTAGGAGGAAAAAATATATGTGTGTGTGTGTGTGTGTATGTTAAATATAGATATTTAAAAGATTTATTTATTTAAGCATACAGAACAGGGTTACAGGCCAGAAGGATTCATCAGAGGCAGGACAGAGTGGAGAGTAGAACAGGCAGATGGACTGAAATACACTGCTGAGGGGGAAGAGCAAGTGGTCAAGGAGAGATCTGCTACAACATGTGGTCCCATTACGAGGGATCGAATTCTTGCTGCAGTGGCTATGATAGCTTCACAGGGCTGTGCTTTAACTTGTTGAACCACCAGGGCACTAGGAGGAAAACTTTTCACTGAATTCTGTGTACTGTTTGAATTTACCAAGTCCCAGCTCTAGGTTGATACTTCATCTTGCAGAACTGATCAACTAATACCAAAATAAAACCTTTTAAAGATATTAGGTCAGGAATTAAAAAACCTGACTTTTTGATTACCAAGTATGACATACTCATTAAGAATAATTTTTAAAAAAATATTTATTTATTTATGTATAAAGAACTGGGGTACAGTCCAGAGGTGCAGAGGCGGTGAGAGGATTCACCAGAGACAGAGTGAGGAGCAGAACAGGCAAATAGACAAAATACACTGCTGAGGGGAGCAACAGGCTGGTCAGGAGAGGTCTGACGCACCATGTGGATCACCTCTGGCAGGGGAATCAAACTTGCACTGATGCAGCTATGGCCAGCTTGCAGAGCTGTGTCCTAACTGTTGCGCCACCAATAATTTTTTAATGCAGAAAAACATAAATAAAAATAAGCTATTACCCACCAAAGAAAGATAAATAATTTGGCTGACTTTCATTTTTTTTTCTAAATAAGTAATTGAAAAAATAGGCACATATACATACATCCCCTCATATTTTTATACTTTGTAATTGAATACATGTTATACACATAATTCTAGTCTACTTCTATTACTTAGGGTATCCAAAGCATTTTATCCTATTCTAATAAAAAATTCTTTGAAAACATAATTTTGTTTTTATATATACATACATACTATTATACATACATCCATACATATATATATACACACACACAAGAACTGTAAAAAATGATCTTATCCCCATTTGCATCAATGTTGTTAACAAATGTTGGGCTTAGAAAAATCAATTCATTTTTCTGGCACCATGTTCTCCTCTGTGAAATGGAAGCTTTTTAAGCCCCTTTATTTCTCATGAGTCAATGAATAAAGGCTAAGATACATTGGTGAAAAGAATCTAAGAAATTAGTACATTTCCTTTACTAAACAGGAGTTTCTGGAAAAGTACTGGGTTTCTAGAACAGTGCTATAACTGAAGGGATTCCTAGGGACAGGTTCTAGCAAGGAAGAGCTGCCAAAAATAGCTCTCCAGAATCTGAATGTTCATTGTCTTCTTAGCTTAGAAAATGGGTAACTGCTCACTTCTTAGTGAGATGGAGGAAATAGTACTTACCTTTAGAGCCCTCCCTGATGGTGCAAAGGGTTAAAGCGTAATATTGCAAAGCTGGGTGGGCCCAGAGGTCACCCACATGGTGCAACAGACCTCTCCTATCTTGCCTGCTGCTCCCCTCAGCAGTGTACTTCTCAATCTTCCTGTTTTGCTCCCCACTATGACTCTGGTGAATCCTCTCACAGCTCCTGCACTGCTGGCCTGTACCCCTGTTCTGTATGCATAAATAAATAAATCTTTAAAAAAAATAAGTACCTCTAATCTCATGACTATACTATTTCAGAATGTACAGACCTTGTGCTAGATATCGGGCAGAGGCAAATGCTATTCTTGCCATCATGAGCTTAGAGTCCATTGAGGATAACAGACTTGAACCAGACATATGCTTACCTATCTAATTAATTATTCCTACCAAGGAGCTGTTCATAGTGTCATTTGACTATTAGTTCATTTTTTTTATAACAGTTTATTTGCACATCATTTTGTACATTTTCCCCCCATCTCAATTGTAATCCCTGCAGGTTTCCCATCACCAAGTAACCCGTGTGCCATCACCATAATCCCGTGCACTTCCCTTCCCACCCCCCGTTTTTGATCCCATTTCCCACTCCACCCCCACAAAATGTCTCTGGTATATGGCTGTTCATTATTCTTGTGATTTTCTCGCCTGGTCCATTATACTCCTGCTGTGAGTGAAACCATCTGGTATTTTTCTTTCTTTCTGGCTTATCTCACTAAGCATGATCTTTTCCAGCTCCATCCAAGTTGCTGCAAAAGACATGTGTTTCTCTTTTTTTGGTTGCTGAGTAATATTCCATTGTATATATGTACCACATCTTTTTAATCCAATTGACTATTAGTTCATTTTTAAGAATGACATAAAAGAGTGGTTCTTAACTCTTTGAATTCACTAGTTCTTATGAAACATATCCAGAGCATTTTTCCTAATCTAATAAAAAACTTTCAAAAAAATAATTTCTTTTATACACAAACACTAAGAAAGAACTGTAAAAATGATCTTATCCCCATTTGCATCAATGCTATTAACAATTATTGAGTCTTTTTCTAATGAAGTCTATGAGCCTTTTCTCTAGAAAGTTGCACATGCACACAAGGAGACAACAATGAAAACATATTGTGAATATAATTGCAGGGTAAAAAAATCAGCATTGATTTGAGAAAACTGGCTTTGTCTGGAAAAAACAGGTTCATAGTGGCTCTGACTCATTCTGAATAAATAATAATGGTTCAAGTCAGTTCGGACTGGTTGTCTAGTTCTGACATAATTATTCAGACCAACACAGTTCTGACTGAAAAAAACTGGTTCCAACTGGATAAAATTAGTTCTGACTGGTTCTAAGTGGGTAAAACTAGTTGAAACAAGTTCAGACCAGAGAAAACAGGTTCAAACTAGTTCAAACTGGTTCTGATCCTTTCAAGGTTCAAATTGCATCTGATTGGTTCTGAATATAGAAAACTGACTTTGGCTGGATAAAACTGGTTTTGACCTCTTCAAACTGATAAAAGTGGTTCAAACTAGTTCTGTCTGGAGAAAACTGACTGACTGGAGAAAATCAGTTCTAATGAACAGTACCAGTTTAAATAAGTTCATAAAAGTTCTGACCAGAGAAAAATGGTTCAAACTAGTTCAAACAGTTCTGACCATATAAAACCAGTTCAAATTGATTCAAATCAGCTCTGCCTGTAGAAAACTGGTTCAAATGTGTTAGGAATGGATGAAGCCAGTTCAAACTAGTTCAAGCTGGTTCTGACCTGCTCAAACCAGTTCTGACAAGATAGAACTAGTTCAAATTGGTCCAAACTAGTTCTGACCTGTTCAAACTGCTTCTGACCATTCTGACTGACTCAAACCACTGAAGCCTGTTCATGCAGGTTCTAACTGATTCTGACTGGGAAAAAAATGGCTCAAACCAGTTAAAAATGGTTCTGACCAGTGTAAACCAGTTCTGATGTCATAAACCAGCTTTTCTCACCAGAAAAACAACTGCTTCAAATTGGTTCTGATTCTGACCACAAAAATACTAGCTCAAAGCATCTCAAACTGGTTTAAACTATTTCTGACCTATCATAACTGGTTTTGAGACAGTCCAAGCTAGTTCTGACTGGAAAAAAGAGCTCAAATTGGTTCAAAATGTTTCTGAATGGCTCAAATTAGTTCTGACCCGTTCTGAGTGGATCAACAGGCTCAAATTGGTTCTGACTGAAAAAAAGCAGGTCCAACTTATTTAACTTGGTTCTCATTTGTTCAAAACAGTTCTAATTAGATGAA